GTGGAGCATTGAAACATCCTACCTTTAACCTCTCAGAATACGCATTCGTAAGCATTATGGTTTAAGCAGGTCAAAATACAAGCCCGTGGATAAAAATTTCAACATAACTACTCGGATTACTATTCACTGTTTAAATTTAGATTTCAGGTCCAATTTTAAAAAATCATAACTAATTGCTTTTCCATTTGTCTATTTCGTCCTTTTTCGCTAACAGAGAAATCACTACTCCTTTTCCTTTGCTTACAAACACTATGAGAACTTGGAGTTTGCCATCTCCTGCATCCCTCTTGTCGGCTACCGTTAGGTGTGGGTGTGGTGGTTATCAGTGGTGTGGTGGGTGCGAGTGCATGGAGGTTACAACGCTGTGTGTGGTTGCCGCCATCTTGCTGCCATTGCTAGTAAATCAGAAAGGTCTTTCTTTCCTTTCCTTTCCTTCTTCATCTTTTTCTTCCCTATTCTTCCTCATCTCTTTTCCTTCTTCATCAGATTCAGTTCTGAGATCTTGCTCTTTATGAATTTTAGAAGACTCTGGGTAGGTTTTAGTGTTTGGTTGATTGCTAACCAGCTCTAAACATAACAATGGCTTAGCATGAATTGTTCGATTTGAATGAAAAAATTCAAGAAAGGAGGAAAAGGATGAGATGAGAGGTTTCAAAGGTGGGATTTTTTTATTGCTTTTTAAGTTCTCATATTTTTCATCTTCCAAGGTCTACTTGCTGCTCACTCTCCCTAACTAATGTCTCTCAGGTATGTTTGACTTGAGAGCATCGGCCTGGGTTTGCTTGACACTATCATCAACTCAAGATGTCTTCTTTCTAGAACAGATGGTTTAGAGAATTAAAAAAGAGGTATAAGAAATTACTTTGTTAGTTTATGTATTTATTTATTTTTAGGTTATATGTTATTTGATTAATGATTCTTTTTGTATCGATATTATACGTACGCATATATCTGTGCATGCATTGTTTTTTTTGTGAAAATAATATATATATATATATATATATGTGTACATGTATATGTTGATTATTGATATTGGTATAAATGCATTAGCAAGTTAAGGTATTGACCTCCAGGATAAATATATGTACTACTGCCTGATTCTCATGAACATAGAGATCTTAAATTGTTTCCTAGAGGTAGATATGTGATGTGAAATGATAATGTATTTGATTGGTAATAATATATTAGCTGATTGGTTGTATGTTTGGCAAAGCAGGGTAAGGTCCTGTTTTTCTCATTAGAATCACTACATCATCTACATATCTTCATCTTTGTGTTGGCTCTTGTACATGACATATTTTGTGTCACCACACTGCTGCTTGGAGGCGCAATTACGTATCCATAATTTGGGCAAATATGATATTGTCTTGCAATAATTCATTTTCAAGGACCTTGTAACAATTCTGCAGAATGTTTGTTGTTTTATTTTTCATACTTCCTTTATTGTGTTCCACATCTGTTATACATATTGGTTAGTCTTTTATTATCTACTTGTGTTCATATCTAGCACTGTGGATGTTATAAAAAATTTTTTAATCCTTTTTGTAAGTATAAGTTTGAGGCTATCATTTTTCTTCACTGGACTGCTAAAGATATTGAGTATGGTATTGGGTAATATCGGCAAGGCAATGTGTTAATGAGTTTCGTGCAAGCAAAAGATTTGTCCCATACATTTTTATTCAAAGTTGATGTTAACCAAACCCCGTAGGTTTATCCTCAATTGAGGCTAAGGTAACTATCAAAACTCAATGGTACTTACCCACTGGTTCAAATGTTGAACTAGGCAGCTGAAGAGAAGGAAGAAAGTGTACGTACAAAGCGAAACACAAGATGGTCCTTGGAGGAGAAAGAAGAGGAAGGGGTGGTTCTGGTTCGTTTTAGACTGGGGGGCTTACTGTGCTGAAACCTTTCACAGAAGGACAGGGCAGGCCGCCAGCCAAACCAACAAGATATCACTATTCGCACACTTCCAGTTAAATGCACCAACCCCTTCTCACTCACATTTTTTATCTTCTGTGTGGGGACTCCAAAATAATCCTGTAACTGATTATAAAGTTTGAAGCACATGACACCGCCAATATCCATGGAAAGATAAAATTTGCTTATCATACGACACATTATGGTATTTGTAATCAATATTCTATTTGAAATGCAGCATCAGGCAGACATGTAAATTAGATTCTTGTGACATTTGCTCATATATTCTTTACATTTAAATTTATGAAATATAAGTCTCTCAGAATTTGCTTGCTAATAAACTATAGCATTATGAAATAGGTGGGATAGTTGTCTTATAAGAATTATGCAAATCATTAAGCCGTGGTAGTCATCAGTTTACTGGAGGTTCATACACGTGGAGAGGTGCAGGAATTTGTTTGCATTCATATTATTTATCCTAATTCAACGATTTTAGTGGGCTTTTTTTTCTCAATAAATCTACCTAATAATTAATGGGTAAATTCATTATATGTTAAATTCATGTATTTTCTGTTTCACAATTATTATTTTGTAGAAGTTGATCCAGTATGAAAGAAGAACTATCTAAGTTTATTAGTTTCTCTTTTTTCCCCCCAAAGTTTAGGGGTTGTCCTCAATAAAGTGGTGTTTCAGATTTGCTGAATAGGTACCAGCCTTGGGAAGACAAAATACATGACATTCACAAAGGTAGGAAATCGGCACACACTTATCTTGCAGGATATGCATAACTGAAAAAATTTGCTGCGATATGAGTTATTGGTCAAAGTAATTTACTCTCCATATTTTTGTGGTAAATCTATAGGGTTTCCTGTTTATATGACATATAACTCTGTTTTTATGGACTTGCCTAATAAGAAGGTTGACTGAGTTTCTTAAAAGAGGATTAACTTTGAAAATACAAAAGTTCTGATACTTTCAAGGGTAGAAAATCAATACAGACTTAGCTTCTAGAATTTGTTTAGCTGTAAAAACTTCTGTGATGTGTTGGAGGTCAAGGTGTATGGCTCTGGACGTTTTTGTGGTAGATCTTTTGGGTTTCTTATTAAAATGTCATGCAATGCTAACATTAGAATGTCCAAAGCTTTTTCTAGTGTCTATTTTTGTACTCAAAACCTTAGTTTCTTCCATAGGCTCTTCTATTGTTTGCTTACTAACCATATGGACTTTGTATTTTAATCGTCTTTTTATTATATAATTGTCTTTTTATCCAAAACAAAGCTATATTTGTTAGTATAGAACTCTTAATTACTTAATAGTACTTCCGAATCGTTAAAAGGCATTCCAACTATTTTAATCTATAATTAAACTAGCTATCGGTCTAAATTGAGTGCCAGCCTAATGTGACTATATATATGGGGCCAATAGGCATATGTATTTTTATTCTCCAAGCAAATCAAGTTATTCAATGTGCCTAAATACTTACTCAATTCTAACGATTATTCAATTAAAGGTCTGATCTAAATTCCCTATGCCTAGCTAGGCTCCTTTAGAATATCAAGATCAGTCCCAATTAGATTTCTCATCTTTCAGGATAATCAAGCGCACAATTGAATCAACAAACATAACATTAAAGCAGCTAAAGATTAAAATTATCATCCACTAATTCATAATCAAACTATAATAAACCAAATTTAAGGTTTAGTTATAATATTTGAACATTCTCGTGAACAAATATAGAGCAAAGCTATTCACACCGCAAGTGCACAAGTCATCACAAGTAATAAAGTGATGAGTAGAGTATCATTCCCATGAGGATTTGGTTCCAAAACCCGGTCAAGTACTGATTATTACACTATTGCCTAATTTGAGTGACAGAAATATATCAAGAGTGAAGAAAAACTACTTTTAAAAATAAAAAATTAATAAAAACAAATGATTCTTGGACTTCAAGGATAAATTGGGATCTAGGATTACTTATCCCCTTCGTATTTAGTAACATTCAATTCACCTCCTCTCATAAAAGCTTTGAATGAAAATATGTGTTAGTCTAGGATTCAAAATATACTTGTAAAAGCTTTCTCAAGTCAAGAACAAGTGTTTATTTTTATTAATTGCTCAATCTCTTGTTACAATTAATAAAACCCAATTTTAAGCTCTAATCCTAAGGTGACTATGTAAGGTTAGCAAGTATATCTCTATCTCACCAACAAAACCATCCATTCAACAAGCAAACTTTAAGGTCTTAAAGGGTGTTTGGATATAACCAAACTATGGTTTGAAGAATAGCTTCTGGAGAATAGATTCTGGAGAGAATAGATTTTTTGAAGAATAGATTTTGTGAAAAAGTGATTCTGAGAAGTGAGAGTGTTTGGATAGTTGTTACTAGAAGCACTTTTTACATGTACAAATTACCAAAAAAAGCATAAGTTAATATCATAATTACAGAAAAAATATATTTTATGATATATTTTAATTTGAAGGAATAAAATTGTTAATAATATATTTTTTATTAACATAATTAATAATACATAAGATAATATAATTAATAAATAATTAATGTGTATATATATTTATAAGATATAGGATTAAATATATTTATAAAAAAATATGTTTATAAAAAAAAACAACAAGATACATATCCTATAGGCTCTCACACTCTCCCTTTTTTTTCCAAAAGCAAAAAATTTTTGCTTTTCCCAAAACCATGGTTTTAGAGCCAAAACCATGGTTTTGGTTTTTTAAGGGTGTTTGGGTGATTTTTTCCCAAACCATGGTTTGGGTTATCACCTAAACACCCCCTTATACAATTTTACCTAAGTTCTACACTTAAGCTAGCCTTCTCAAGCATCACTCAAATGAACAGAACATCTAAATGGTGATCAAACACTTAGAAACATTAAGCAAGGGATAAAATAAACACATATATATCATTAATCACAAAATGAGAGGAGGAATCAAGAGTTAATTTATACAAGGGTTCAAAATAATACTCGAATCAAAGCTTTAGCCACACATATTCAGAACTCCCATGAGAAAATACATATATTTAACACAAACATTGAACAAGAGGAAGGAAAAGGAGAATGGAGAAGAAGAACCAAGATGTGAAGCCAAAATCTCTTCCAATCTTTAAATCCCAACTCAATCTTTACCAAAATCCTTGCCCTGGCACACCAAAGAGCTCCCAAGATAGCCCCAACAATCCAGAATGCCTAGCTGTTGCTTTTCTCCTTCCATTTGACCCTAACAGCGCATCAGTAATTGAAACGCGCACAGCAGTGGATTTTCTTCATTCACTGTGGATTGGCCATGGTGAATCGATAGTGAATAGCCATAAATTTCACCCCTCTGAAGCTGCATTTTCAGTTCGTTTGTTGTAGCTATGGCTGTGGTGAACCAACAGCAAATGTACTGGAAAATGAGAGTTTTCTGCATTAGGCTTCAAAGCTCTTCTATGCTTCCTTCCAGCTAATCTACTCTTCAAGGGTGTTCTACACAGCCTGAAAGCACTGGTCTCCATCCTCCTACTTAAAGGAGAAATGTGTAAGTTCTAAACAACTCCAAATAATCACAATTATCTCAAGATTGTTCCAAAAAGCTAAACTAAACACATTTTTCTTAATGGCTCTATTTTGATGCACAATTTAACTCTCAAAACAGGAAGTTAAGAAGTAAAATGTGATAAACAGATATGAATTTCTCAGAATTAACAAAAGCAAGCTTGAAATCATATAAAAATATCCAATTTTACTTGATGACTCGCCAAAATACCCAAATATACCTCAAATCTAACAAAAAATGACGAGTCATCAATAATCTAATAAATCCTAATATAATGGATAAATATCTTTTTTTTTAATAATCCTACTACTTAACCCTAGATATCTAATTAAACCCAGAAAACACTTAAGTCAAGTTAATTAGGTCCATCATGTCCAGTTAGCCACTGAGATTATTCCACCTGTGTTAGCATTACACATCATTACTTAACCTATGAAACCATCGTTTATTTGTAACAGGTCGGGTTCCAATTATCATCAAGCAGACCTTCCTTAGAGGGATTCAGTTTGATAGTCATCTTGCTGTGTGCACCGTTTTCTATAGATGCAACCATACCAGCAAAGCAGAAAGGCCTCTTATCAGTTCTTTCCCTTTTCTTATAAGCCTCCTTTGAACTTTTCTCCTTCGACTAAAATCATTTTTTTTTCTTTTTGCCTTCCTCCCGTCCACCGTTTTCATCCACTCGTTGCAAATTTACATAACCAACTTCCAATGCAGCTCCAAACTCAGCACTCTCTCTCTTAGTATATTGTATTTCTTTTTATTTTTTTTGGTTGGTTACAGCATGTTGTATTTCCTTTGATTAGGCTACCCTCTTATAAGAAAGCACAATTTTTTCACATTTGCTTCTTCCTCTCTGCATCTTTCTGCACAAGTCTGATTCTTCCTCTCTTCTTTCTCACTCTTCTCTTCTGCTGCTTCGTGTTAGCACCTTTCATTGGCTTCTCTTTCAATGTGCTCCATTTGTGCAAGCTTCTCGTCTCACGCAATCCTCTGATTTCTTTCTTTCAGTTTTTCCCCCTTTTTCTTACTTCATTCTTTTCCTTCCAATCTATGTACCACTCTAAATTTCGTTGACCTTTCTTTTCGATTTTCAAAGGGGATTGACCTCCAGAATTATACTTGCTCCACTTACTGACACTATAGAGTTCTTGGATTTTGCCTTTGCGTTTACTCATACGACTTGCCAACTATATCGAACTGAATAGTGAATCCTTCCAAGGAAGGATTTCTGGGTTTTGATTGACGGTGATTGGAACCCGAGCCGTTACAAATAAACGGTTGTTTCACAGGTTAAGTGATGATGTGAAACACTAATACAGGTGGCATAATCTCAGTGGCAAATTGGGCATAATGGACCTAATTAATTTGACCTAAATTTTCTCCATTAAAACCTACTCAACCATTATTCCCATATTTCTTGCATTAATTAATTCTCACTTGATTTATCTGTGTCCTTTCTCTTAATTATGCATCTGATTTGTGTGTGTATGTTTGCGTACGTATCAATCAATATATACGTGTGCGCGCGCGCGCATATATTAATGTATGCGTGCATGCTGGTTGTTGACACAAGAATTGGTGATTACAGAGATGAGGAGAGGGGGGAGAGTTAGAAGAATTAGAGATGGGTACTCCGTACAAGTATTTATCTGAGGACAAGTGGTATGATGCAAAAGCATTCATTGAACGCCATCCTAGGGTCTTGGACGTAGAATTTGCAACTTCAATACGCGAAACACCTCTTCATGTAGCGGCAAAGTTTGGGCATCAGAACATAGTAAAGTAGTTAGTGAAATTAGTTCCAAAAGACTATCTTGAAGTACGTGATGCTTGTGATTGTACTCTGTTTGCAGTAGCTGCATCATGTAGCGGAGTCATCCCAATTGCAAGCTTCTTGCGCAAAGAAAATAGCAAAGCACTTAAAATTCCATTAGGAGACTATGAATGGAACATTCCTGTCACAATGGCTTTTTCATGTTGGCCTCAACCAAATGGGACGTCATCTCTATTTTGCCATTGGTGATGATTTGCAAGTCTTCAAAGAAAACCACATTGTGGGTCCTTTGTTCCCCAAACCTGTTTCATGGCTGAAGAACTTGGTAAAATAACTTCTTGATAATTATATTAACAAAGCATAATATATGTTTCATTTTCATTTCTTTCCCTGTCTGTTCATTTATGTTGTTATCTTTGACATTCCATCTCATGCTATGTGATTATGATATATGAATAGGTATTGCTTTGGATTTGCTCCAACGATGTAGAGAGCTGATTTTTGCTGCTGATAATCTATACTCAACAATTGAGCACACTGCATTCTACCTTTCGGATTCTCTCAACAAATGTCAACTTCGGTTCTGGAAGCAATGGGTTTATCACTGTTAGTGCATACCACGACTATTAACTGTCTATTTTTTTATTCCTACAATTTCTACATGTTGCTTTTTAATTATATAAGCCAAAGTACTGAATTACGATGATGAGAGTAATGATATTTAAGTTGAAGTTGTTTTAACTCCACCTGTATATAATCTCATTTTCGTCACGATATAGTAAAGGAAAGAGCTTAAAACTGAAGTGAAAAAATAAGAGAATGAAATTCACATTTCATTAACGCTAACAGATATAGATATATGTCATGAAATCATAATATGTAAACTTATTTGATTGTGCATGATTGTGTATGTTTTAGTTTAGTGGGATGAAATAAACAGAATAATCTCAGAAAAACAGAATAGCTTCACACAAATTACTTGTCCTTCTAGGTATTGATTTTATCACTTTTACTATTTTAAGAAGCTAATGTTTCTCTATTTCTTTGATCACTTTCTGGGTGGAAGATATCAAAATACCACCAGCTACGGTCACTAATCAAATCCATGTGGACATGCAATCAGAAGACGAGATGAGTAGCTGGGCCGAAGGTATTATATTCTCTGTCGGTTGATTGGAAGACGAAATCTAATAATATAGCAAATCTAATACAACATAGATATTAAAAGATGTGAAGAAAATTTTATTTTATGTAGAAAAATTATTCTGCAATTCTTTATAATTTACTTTAATTTTAAATCGATCAGGTCTCTGTAGTTTTGTTTTTTTGGAATTAAGCTCTTATAGTTTAATCCATTAGGGGCGTTCATCCTTAAATGTGAAAATTATTAATTTTAATTTCAGATTTGATTTAAAATAGAGGAAAACGGACTTGTGGATTAAATTTTCCCTTTAATTATCATACATGAAAGTGAGTTATGTCAAAATATAAAATTTGAGAATGAAAATCAATTTGGGCAGAGTGATGCTGACCTTTTTTTTTTTTTTTTTTGGGACTGAGATGCTGATCTTGATTTATGCATAAGATGCCAAATGTTGACATTTTAGTTGAACCTAACTTTGATGCAATGCAAGAAAAGGATAGACGCATATGCATATATGTGTGTGCAATCTTTTTGAATGATTGCACTGACAGAATTCCATCTCAATATATAGGACTAAATCTACTACAGCGGCTCATCTCCTTCATTTATAATTTGCTTGGTATGCATGCTCAAAATTTCCCCAAAACTTAAATTAGTTACTTTTAAGATTTTTGTTCTCATGATTAAACTCGACCAATATTAAGTTATATTTGAGTTACCAATTCTTCAGGGATGAAGGAAATACATAAGCTCAAGTTGCAACATACACGGGCAACTGAAATTCTAGAGCTGGCTTGTAACAATCTGACATTTTTGAATGAAGACAAAAAGCGTATGATTGGAAAAGCACTGTTGGCGGCTGCTATATCAGGGAATCTTGAGTTTTGTAAGAAGATATCAATAGCAAACCCGGAATTAATCTCAATGGTCACTTTTTCCCAACAAAAGGAGAATGCCTTCTTCAGTGCCGTTAAATATCGTCAAGCTGAGATTTTTAACCTCCTCCGTGGGATTCGCTTTAAGAATGTGGTAGCAACAATGTTACTTGAGAATTACAATAACTTGTTGCACACAGCAGCAAACTTGGCTCCTCCTTCCCAACTTTACCGCATCCCTGGTGCCGCTTTGCGAATGCAAAGGAATGGTAGTGGTTTAAGGTTAGAAGTCAAATTAAATGCTTTTTTGTGTGCATGTGTGAGGGAGATTAACATATAAATTAAAATCATTAAATCATGCAGCTCCCACCTCTTTGGACCTAATGGTTAGCAGGTGAGGGATTAAATTCAACAAGAAATGAGAGATTAATTCCATTATTCCATATGTGACAAATATTTTAAGATACAATCTGTCAGCACTTTTATGCTACTTCTTTCCTTTTTAAATATAGGCAGTAGAGAGTATGGTGAATCTTGGAATTAAGCGTCGTCATAACAAAGACAAGTTGACTCCTCTGGACTATTTCAAAGAAAACCATAAAGAACTCAGGAACAATGGCGAGAAATGGATGAAAGATACTGCAACTTCTTGCTCAATTGTTGGTGCTCTAATTGTCACCATTATGTTTGCTGTAGCTTTTACTGTTCCTGGTGGAAATGATCAAACATCTGGGCACCCAATATTTTTGAAGGAAACGTGGTTCAGAGTTTTCTTAATTTCAGATACGGTGTCCTTGTTTGCTTCAGCTTCTTCTGTGCTTATATTTTTAGGAATTCTTACGTCACGTTATGCAGAAGATGACTTCCTTTACTCCTTACCTGGAAAATTGATCATAGGCCTCATTGCACTTTTTCTCTCAGTTGCAACTATGTTGATAGCCTTTTCCTCAGCAATAATCATCATGTCGCAACAGAACTCATCACCTTTTTGGGCTTTTCTTCCTGTTCTTACGCTTGCTATCGTGCCCATAACTATCTTTGTTTTATTACAGTTCCCTCTTCTTGTTGAAATAATTTATTTTACTTATTGGTCTAGGCATCTTCCGGAAGGTGGAGAAGTGCCATGAAATGTGTGCGCTTTATATCTGAGTACTTTATGTATTTTCTGTTGAATAAGAAATTCTTGATCCCCTCGATTGTAAAGCACCTGGTTTTATTTTTAGCTTAAGTAAGGGAATAAGTTGGTGATGTGTGTGTATCATCAACCTTTGCACATTCAGAACATAAACATGTTGATGTCTGATTATGCCAAATTAATTAATTTTAAAGTAGTGTATGCTTTTTGGTTTGCTTCATCCCAAATCTCCATTTTCTCAAAGACTCCAAGAATCGTGCTTTTGGAAATATGATGATGCATGCGCCTACTATAATTTGAATAACCCAAATAAAGTCGAACAATTTAAATTTAAATTAATAAAAAGTTTGGTAGTCTAATTTTATTCATGAGAAACTTTTCATCGATAACGAGAAATTTCAGTAAGCACAAAGTTATTTTTTTTAATCCTATTTATAAGTCATCTCATTAAATTTTTAACATGAATGTACTATTTTATCCATAACTTATTATAGTATAAATAGTTATTTCTTTAAATAGTATTTATATTAAATGGGGATAAAATTAAGAAGTTGTTATATTTTAATGGTGACTTAATACAGTTCAAGAAATTTTTTTTTGGGATGAAATGTGTATTTTAATTTCTGAATCTGCAAGAATTGGTGATTACAGTGATGAGGGGAGAGAGGTAAAAGATTTAGATATGGGTATTGTGTTTAAGTTTACATCATGGTAGGGCACTTTATGATTGTGTAATAATTCTTTACGTTCAGACATAAAATGGGGGCTTAGAGGAGATGGAAAAACTATTTGCGTTTAAAAAAATTATTAATTAAAGATAATTTATCAATATAATTCTACCCTGAGAAGTGCTTACTAGACATCCTGGATTATGCCAAATGGACGGATTATATTCTCGAGAATAGGGAACTAAAATTTGGGCTTGTTTGGTGTGCATGATTTCCACTTTCAAGGATGGAACCATGCGACTCTAGTCTCCTCACTTGTTGATCTCCAGATCTCATAAAAGCTTAGATAGATTGAGTCTTCTTATTGTCTGTGATGACAAAGTTTTCATAGCTGGCAAACCAAGCATCTCTTGAAACGAAACCTTATCATTTCGATTAAAAACTACTAAGATATCAAAATACCTCAGATCTTTTTCAAATTATTTTAATTTCTTATTTTAATCTTATATAATTAAAATATATGCACATAAATATGTTAAGGCTAGACTCGAGCTTTATACCTCATTAAGTGTAGCGGTTGGCGGTCGCACCAGATCAATTTGTTGATGAGTTACTGCGGTTTAGGGGTGGAAATCAAATTGAAATCTAATCTGTTAAGTAACTTTTTGTTGAAATTTTGCTGAAATAATTAGTTATTAAATAATTAAGAAAAGTCAGACATTCCGAAAATAATAGGAAAAAAAAAAGTCAAAGGACGATTTTCTATCAAATATATTCATGTGACAGTATTTTGTTGTTAGAATCGGGTAACAAAGACTCCAAATTTAGGACATTGGGAATATTTGTGATTGTATGACCGACCTAAAAGCACAACGTTCCTGTGAAAACCTGCTATGCGTACGAACACATGAAGCTTGAAAAAGGCCATGAAAACGGACCCTACTGCAGATTCAACAATGAGCTCCTAACGTTGTTCACCTCATCTCTATACCGCGCAGCTTTGGTAGCCTCTCTCTTTGCCTCTAACACCACAAGAATTCTTGGTCCTACAACCTCCATGTTTCTTGGAGGCTTGTTCTTCCTTGTGGGTGCCTTTTGAATGGCTTTGCAGTAAATGTGGCCATGCTCATCATTAGCCGTCTGTCACTTGGCTTTCGTGTGGGTTACTGTAACCAGGTAAGCGACTCACAGTGATATTATTATTTTTCTAAAGGATCGATCGAGTGCACAAATATGCATATAATTGCCCAAACCAACTCAAGTTTTGCATCTGCAATCGGCACGGGAGATGCGGTTAAGGAATCATAACTATGATTTGTCCAGCGCACTGTAATCACCATTTACAAACAAAGGACCATTTTTTGAGTAAATTTATGCAGGCAAGTCTCTTGTTAAATAGTCTCCTTTTCCATTAATGAAGTGCGTGACACGAACTATAACATTAGGAGTTGTTATATTTTTGAGAGAGTTGGTGTCCCTAATTATTATAAGACCCTCTATAAAGTTATTTCTATGAATAATTAAAGGATGTTTCCACATACACCCCAAATGAATTATTAAAATTTCATGACCCTCTTTCTTTGAAAAATTTAAATGCATTTGAAATTCAATTCACGTATAGATAAACCTCTTGGCATGATTAGCTACCGGGACAGGGACTTGATCATCATCTGCAATCAACCTTAGCTCTTTGTTTATAGGAGCTTTTAACCAAAGCTTTTTGTTTATAATGTCACCTTAAAAAACAAAGCTTTTTGTTCGTAATGTCCCCTTAAAAAAAAAAAAACTTTTTGTTTATAAATTACGTACCAATAATAATTGTAAAAGAAAAAAAATCATAATTGACTATGCATTTGCGTGTTAATAAAGCATTTGATTTGTTACATCATAACGCAATCATGGAAGAGGAACTTCTGATATTGTGCTAGGACTTCAATTGTGGTTGAGGAGGTTAATTGCGATATAGTCAAAAATATTGTTCATGATGAATTATCTTTCAGCAATAAAGAAACTCAAGCACTTGATGTACTATATATATTTCATGTTCACAGTGATCATATATACCCACGATCCTTTTACTGCTTCACGATTAAATCATTTTGGAAATTTGGTTGATTTTTTTTAAAAAAATAAATCCGAAACTTGTTCTCAAAGGAAGATGAACAATACAAAGATCAAACAAGGGGGAAAAAAACCCAGCCATATTTCATTATTCGTCCCTTTTAAATAAGAAGCAAAGGATGATCAAAGATAATAAAGTATAAATAATTTCAAGACCCTATCTAGTTAGATAATTAGCAGTGCTATTTACATTCTCTATATACAAAACTTGTGAAAATAGTCCAAAGTCTACTTAAAAAAATTTGTTGCCATTATCAATGATATCTTGATGGAATGATCATTGGCAGCTTGATTTTTGAGGCTTTGACTAATTGATTGATTTGACTTCACGGGGTACTCTCTCAGAGCCAAGGAAAGACAGTGATTTTTTGTGATAAATTAATTAATTGAATGTTTTAATAAACAATATAAAATTTTATATTTTATTTCACTAATGATTTTAATATCTAAAAGTTGAATTTAAAAAAATCTCAACCATAACTTTTTTACTTGACTGAAATTTCTTATTATTGATAAAATAATGCTCATGAATATAATACAATTAAACTTTTTATTAATTAATTTTTTTGGAAATACTTTTTTTAAATTTAAATTTAAATTTCTCAACTTTATCTTGATTCAAACTATAATAGGCTCATGTGTCCTGTTACAGTCACAACATTATCAATGTTTATGTTCTAGATGTGCAAAGCCTGATGATACGCAAACGCAATAATTAGGCTAAAAATAAAACCATGTGCTTTATTTACATACAATAAAACCATGTTCTGAAGTTTCTTATTCAATAGACAATAGATAATGCAATGAGATGTGAAGTACGTACTTGCATAAATCTTAGTGAAGCAGAACCCAAATATTGAAAACAAGTTAGGCCTTAGAACAGTCAACAAGACTGTGGGTTTACTAGTTAAATTTTTGGAAGGACTTCTATCATTCTTTAAAATTATTCTTAATCATAATTATTATAAAGTACTATGGGCTCATTACATGTATTAGGCCCGTGTTATGACTTTGGTTTGGGCCACCTGTAATTGAATCCCCAAGCATACAACCCATTTCATCATTTGATTTGTTCCCATTAAAAATAAATAATTCATCGATAAAGCGGAATGGTTAGTCCTTTACAATAGTGAACTAAGATTTGAATCTCACTTAAGAAAAGTACTTACATTTAGTACTCGACAGTGCCTCTAATAGGAGGATACCTGTTGTGACACCCCAAATTTTCTAACTAGGAAAAATAGAAATAAGAAAATTTATTTAAAATTATTTAGTGCTTGAATAAATTGGGGGAAAATATGTAATATGAATTTTGAAGACTTAGAAATATTTTGGAAAATTTTATTCTCCAAAAAGTGGCTTAAATAATTTTAAAATTATTTTTAGAGCAAAAATGGGTTAGTTCCTTAGAAAATTCTAAGAAAAATACTTAGAGGTTTCTAACTAATCTGGAAATTTTAGGAAAATTATTTTAGTGATGGAGAAGGAAATTGAGGCATAAAAGCCTTAAAATGATTAACGATTAATTTCTGAAATTAAGGGCTGATTCTTAAAAAATCTAAGAAAAATAGTTGGGAATTGATTTTTGACCCAGAATTTTTATGGAAATTATTTAGGAGTCAAGGAAGCTATTGGATAAGGAAAATCCATATAAAATTGTGGATTAATTTTTGGGTTTATTTTACAATTACAGAAAGATAAAAAAAATAAAAAAAGGGATGAAAGTGAAGACAAAAGTTTGTCGAAGGGTATAATGGTCATTTCGACCTCCCTAATTGATTAAACTGGCATCCTTCTTTCTTCTTCATTTTGCATCGAAAACCAGAGGAAAAATAGAGAGAGACGAGAGAACGGTGGAGAAGCAAAGAAGGAGAAAGTACCAATCGGAAGCCTAAAACTTGCATGCAATCTTGGTTTTTGAGCGAGGTGAGCCTCATGAGTCCCTTCCCGGTTTCATTTTCTTTATTGGGTGCTATTTTTGGGCGATTCCAGAGAGAGAATCTTGGTTACAGTGAGAGAAAGTGAGGGAAGGGAGAATCTAAGCTAGGATGTCGTGTTGAAGGATGACAATGGAGGGTGTAATGGTGGTTTTTGAGTTTCCATGTTTCTTTTTCCCTCTCTACCATGAGAATGTGAAACAGGGGGTGTGAGTTTGGGTCATGCGTCTCGGGTTACATGGTGCTATGAGAGAGAGGAGTCCGAA